AGCTGGGCCTTAAAGGGATTTATGTAACATTCAGTTCAAGTAGCACATTCCCATTGATTCTTGGACAAGCTCTAGACAGAAGTCCCATATCCACCCACGACTTTGATGCTACTTCCCTGGAGAAAGTAGGAAGGGTGGCCAACGTGGTTTGCAAGGTTGCATTCATCTGGAAAGTGCTCCATCATGATTTCTCCCCAGTGCCAGTAGACAGGTGCCATCCCTGCCTTTGTACACACTGTTCCTTGCTTCTCAAAGTTATTTGAGGAATAATTACACATTCTCCGAGAGGTAACGTGACGTGATTTCATTCACTCATTCATTCAATATTCATCCAGCTCCTCATATGCTCCAAGCACTGACCTAAGTGCTGGAGATACTGTATTCACTATAAAAAGGGCTTTCCACTCCCGTGGTGTTCTTCCTAATAATGCATAATCATGCATCCGCTTCTAATCGTGAGAAGACATTAGACCCGCTGAAGCTGAAGGATGTTCTACAAAAATCAGACTAGTATTCCTAGAGTCCTCCAAGACAGATTTGATGCCAAGATGGGGAAGAAGGGAGAGTATGTTGGAGCCCTAGGTCCTTGCAGACATATTCTGGAGATACACACTGGGGTTTGGGAGCACAGCAGGAGGGACTGTGGAGTGTGCAAAACCCTCCAGGGAGAGGTCAGGGGAGCAGTGCAGGAGTTTGAGGCTGCACAAGAATGACATGACCCCCAGTGGGAAGAGCACACTACTCACCCTCCTTCTGAGATCAAGCATTCTCTTCCCTTTCCTTTAGCCATGTGACAGGGACTGGTCAGGTGAGGAGAGGAGTGTCACAGATGGGGAACCGGCACCAGATCCTCAGGGGATGGCAGGCAAGAAGCTGGGGCTCCTGAAGCTCTATGAGGCAGGTTCCATAGAAGGAGACTCGGGAGTGCTGGGTTTCATTCTCACATCCTGAGAACACATCCAGAGACATAAGTCATACACATTTGCTCCCTTCTATGTGAGATACCAGATTCTGTACTTTGAAGCCGTGGGCAGGGATGGAGGTCTTCAAAGGAGGCAACACCCCATAGGAGGCTGACTCCAGGAATTCCTGGGTTGTCATCTGCACCCTTTGGGCCATGAAGCATGACCCATCGGTATTTTAAGAGCCATGATGTGTCCTTGAAGTGGAGGCTGGCAGCCAGCAGTCTTATGCCCTTGTTGGGATTGCAAGTTTCCTTCCCTGGGGCCCATAGTTGTGTTCTCATGTCCCCCCTGCTGCTGTGTCCACACTGCCCCAATCGGGCCTCAGTCTGCTCAGCTTGGGGCTTTGCCCTTCCTGTCTCCCCACTAACTACTGCTCAAAACCTGGAGCCTATGCTCATATGCAGTTATCACTGTGATAAATTCCCTGGTAAGGATCTCCTTCCAAGGTCTTGTGGTGACAGAACTGGCAGGAGATGATGAAGCCTTTTGGTGAGTCTCCTCGTAAATAATAAGCATTCTGATATGATGAGTGACAAATCACGATGATTGGGAGATGTTATTCAAATAATTCCCCATGTAATGCCTGGCTTTTGATTAACTGAACACCTTAAATGCGTGACTATGAGGTTTTACTTTCTGAGGTTGATCCAGAGAGGTGGGGCTGGGGTCTCCTAGCAGAGGCAGCTAGGGCCTCGGTATCCCCAGACAGGCAGTTAAAGAAGACTATAGGCTGTAGCAGATGGTGGGGGCGTTGAGTACCGGGACACTCCGCAGTCCCCAGAATACTCCCAGATCCACATTAGGTTTGGAAAGCAGCTAGGTGTGAGAGGGCTTTGGGGTCCGGAGGGATTAGGCTGTGCTGAGCATCAGCCACCCCAGGAGAGATGTGAGGAGGAGCACCTGCCAGATCCAGCTGTACTGCCCTGGGCCGGCTGTGGGGAGAGGGACATGGGAGCAGAAGGAGGCTGAGGTGAGCTGGAACCCTGGACCAGGTCATTAGGTGGGTGCTCCCAGGAATGGCCTGGGTCAGACCCCTGTGGGCACTCCAGGATGGAACAAGGACATTACTGGAAACAGCGACATCACATGTCCCTTCTTGGAGGGCGCCAGTGGGTGTGGAGAGTGGTGCCTTAGGCAGTTAAGGACATCCAGTACCTCCCCATCTCCCACATGCACAGCCTTTTCAGGAGTCATTTCCAAGATCCAGCATCCTCACCCGTAGCCTAATGTGCTGACATACCAGGGCCCAAGCCTGTTGCATGTATTGGAAGCCAGATAAAGTTGATCCAATAAGATTATTTGATTTTTGAGTAAACCATTATTTAAGAAACATATCATGATCTCCTACTGGGTGCTAAGGCTTATCACGGGCACCAGTAGTTCGAAACATGGCATTCAAACCTTGCTTTGAGGTGCTCACGATCTAATAGGGGTATGTGGCTAGGTTAGGAGATTCTTTCCGTATGGTTTCAGAAGAGCCAAGGTGTGTGTAGAACACAAGTGTACAATTAGAAACACGTTTGTTTCCAAGTGAGAATAGTTTAGCCGGACTTAGGTTTAAGGGACACAGCTGGAAGCAGGGGCTCTGGATCCAGCCAGCCTGGATATGAATTTTGGCGCTGCCACTTCCTAGTTGTGTGATCATGGGCGAGCTTCCAATCTCCTTGTATCTCAGCTCCCTCATCTGTCAAACACGAATAGCAGTAGTACGTACTTCACGAAGCACATATAAGGACTGCATCAGGTAATATCTGTCAAGCACATAAACAATGCCTGCTACCTAGTAAGTGCCATAGGAGTGTTTATTAAATCAGCAACTCCTGACCTCACTAGTCACTGGTGTGTGTGTGTGTGGCCTCAGGATTCAGTAAGACGGCTCATGGAAGGTTGGTAAAATATGGCCGAAACTTCTCCTCCACAGGGCTGTGAGGAACTTGAAGCACTTAACCCACTGCCTGGCACAGTAAATGATCTGTCAGTGGTGTATAGTTATCCTCGTCCTTAAGGCTTGCCCTGATCCTCAGGTGCTCCAGAGGGTGCTGTTGCATCTGTCAAATGTTCTTACTTTCTGCAACCTCTTAGTGTCCAGTCCTGGTGAAGCCCCTTAACATCCTGAATGGCTTCTGCCATCATTATGCAGTGCTACTTTACAGTTTATTCAGTGGGCCACAGAGGTTATCTCATTTGCTGAAACAAGTAACAGAACACAGTAGGCTTGAGAGTCTGGCTTTTGATTGAGCCCAAGTCAAATTCCTGGGGAGTCTATTTCTAGAGTTCCCAGCAGAGGACAGGTATGGCCCCTGCCCATGGCTTAAGCCTCCAATAGTGATATTTCAGGGTCTAACTTCCACTTCATTCTGCTGTCATTTCAGAGCACAGCAGTCACAGTAATTTTTGAAAACAGAAAGCAACCAGGATAGCCTTGAAGAAGTAACCCTATACGAAGCAAGGGGATGAGGGCTTCGTACTCCTCCCATTGATTCCTTGACTTGTCACTAGAAGGAAGTTGACCCCAGAAAAGAAGTTTCCTACAACTGAGGGCCACCCATGGAGAGGACCCTGGTTATCAGTCATCAACAAACAATACCTTTGGGGGAATGAGAGCCTCAGTTGTAAAGGAAAGATCTTGGTAGCACTATACCATCCACTACAGTCCATCTTCTCTCACAACACTTAAACCTACATTTTTGTCTAAAGTTTTTTTTTTTGTTATTTATAATGTTTTGGGGTACATAGTAGCTGCATATATACTTACGGGGCACATGAGATATTTTGACACAGGCATACAATGCATAATCACATCAGGGTACATGGAATATCCATCACCTCAAGCGTTTATCCTTTCTTTGTGTTACACACATTTCAATTATAGTCTTTTTTGTTATTAAAAATGTACAATAAATTATGGTTGATTGTAGTCACGCTGTTGTATGATCGAATACGACATTCATTCAATCTGACTGTATTTTTGTACTCATTAAACATCCTTTTCCACCCCCACTCCACTACCCTTCTCAGACTCTGTTAACCATCCTTCTGCTCTGTCTCCATGAGTTCAATTGTTTCCATTTTTGGCTCAGTGTATCCAACATTCTTTAAGCCCTCTGTTAGTGGTGGCTGACAAAGAAATGTGAGCGGGAAAGTCAAACTTACACCTGTAATGTAGACAAATTCCAGTAAAGATGAATCTCTGCTCCTTCCAGGATGGAAGTTGCTGGACGCAATCAACAAGTCAAATAAGTGAGAATATGCAAAGTTTGACTTTCTGTGCCTGGCTTATTCCACTTAACATAATGTCCTCCAGTTCCGTCTTGTTGCTGTGAATGACAGGATCTCTTTCTTTATTATTGCTGAATAGTACTGCATTGTGTATATGTATCACATTTTCTTATTCCGTTCATCTGTGGATGGATGCTTAGGTTGCTTCCAAATCTTGGGTTTTGTGACCAGTGCTGCAACAAACATGGGAGTGCGTCCTCCAGGACCTTCTCAGGCTGTGGCACTTACAGTTGTCCCCATACTATAGAAATCTGGCAGGGGACTATCAAGACACATTCAAGTGGTCACTTGAGAGCGAAAGATTCCTCTCTGTTCCCATCGTATAAGGGCAGCCCTACCTCCTCCTGATGATCAGGGCCAATACCCCTGCAAGCATGGCAACTCCTTTTTATGCTTGCTGGTCCTATAACATGAGAAACTCAAAGTGCCCAGATGGGAGCGATAGCTTGAAGTTTAATGGAAAGAGTCTCATTAAATTGTTTTTTCCTGGTGGAAGTAATCTTACTTTGGGAACCAATATATCTAGCCAGCACTGTCCAGTATGGTAAATAGCAGCCACATGTGACCATTGAGTATAGAAATGTGGTTAGTGTGACTGAGGACCTGAACTTTAAATTTAATTTTAAATAGTTTAAACTTATGTGCAAATAGCTAAATGTGGCTAGTGACACCTTATTGGAAAGCGCCGTTCTAGAACTACAGAACCTAAACTTATGCAGCAGAAAGTACAAATTCCCATATAGGTCACAGGGAGTGACAGTAAGTGAGGTCATCCCACCTTTTGGTATCTGGATCATTTATTCTATCTTTTGATGGAAGAGAGTGATAATAGATTTAGGGTATATACAGTGCAGTAGAGAATGACACCCCGTCCTCATAGGCTGTGAGCTCCAAATTTGCACCTCATTTGCACTGTGAAGAAGCCACTCCATTGTTTCAGTAGACCAGTGGCTTCTGGGTGGCGCAGTATGAGATAACAACTTTAGATTACACGGTCATGTGCCCACTGAGCACTTCCTTTGCTACATGTGGGTCCCTTGGTCCCAGCTGATCATATGAAATATCCCGGCTCAGTGTATCCAACATTCTTTAAGCCCTCTGTTAGTGGTGCCTGACAAAGAAATGTGAGCGGGAAAGTCAAACTTACACCTGTAATGTAGACAAATTCCAGTAAAGATGAATCTCTGCTCCTTCCAGGATGGAAGTTGCTGGACGCAATCAACAAGTCACAAGGGGCTGATTAGTCTCCTTAAGCAATGGTGCCATACTGGGTATTCAGCACTGGTTGCTGGCAGTTTAAACATTTGGCAAAAATAGCTGGATATGCCTGGGTGAATGTGGACCCACGCTGTTGAACACGTGCATAGCATCCACTTCTTCCACCATGGCTATTCCACACATAAGGCCATTGTGTAGCATTAATGTGGCCAGGGACTGAGGCTGGCTAATGTCAACTAGTCAGGTCATTTTTTCTTGATTAAACGTTTAGTGTCTCTTCCACGGTGAATGCTCTCTTGAGCCTTAAGACGTGATACAAATATCTTCACATATAGTGTCCCTTCTCATACGTCCATCAATAAACCTCCTTCCCCAATCCTGCTTGTTGCAATCTGTCACTACTTGTCATTCTAAGTCCCTGAGCAGCTGTCCAATTTGTTTTTCACTGTCCATAAGTCCATTCTTAGTTTGGGTCACTTCTCTTTTAGATATGAAGTGGATCGTCAGATGCACCATTTGAAGCTCTGCCAACTGGGGATTTCTGCTCAGCATTGTATTTCTTGACCACATTTGATCGAGGTAGTATTACAACAGAAGTTCATTTTCAGTTTGCGCTCTAAATCCAGCCAAACCATCTATCATCTAAGCTCAGCACTTCTACTCCTCCAGCAGCTGGTCATAAGAGAACTTCCTGGTCCATTAATCTATAGGAATAAATAAAGAGCTGAAGGAGAGACACAGACACAACATTGGCAGATGATATTGGGGATTAGGTCACCTGCTTGTAATGTATGGCCGTGCTGGTGTCTGATCCTGGATGTACTACTTCTATCTTATCACAGATTACTTTTGGAATCACCTGACTTTGTGGGCCTGACAGAACCTAGCTCATGATGATCAATGGCTACATGCCATGTGCCTGAGGCCATAGTGACCTGTTGTAGTGAAGATAACACATCTGTTAAGGCTCTCGCCATTGAGCTTGCAGTGGTCCAAAGTTGCAGTAGTCCCAATGACCCATCAGGTTTTTGTAGGAGCCAGGCTGCTGACTTAAATTAAGATATGATGGGGATCACCACCGCTACATCCTTTAGGTACTAAGGATGTCATGAACATTTTCCATCCCTCAAGATGCAATATTGTTTATTACTTACTATCGTGGCCAAGGTGCAGGAAGTGCACTTGGCCTTCTCTGCTCTGCTAGCTCTTCTACTAACAGCCATGGACCCAATCAGGGTTTGTGCCCATTGTGGAGTAAGTCCATTTCAATTTCCCATTTGGAAACTGGATAAATGGGCACTCTGGGTCAGACCTAGGCAAGAACTCCATTTATTGCTGGGCCACATTCGCTTCCACTCTAACAGGGGGCAATGATGAAGCTTCAGGTCCTAGGTGTCAGTGTCAATGCAGATTCTGTGTCCAGCAGTCCTTGAAATGTTTGGGTGTTTTCCCCCTTCCCAGTGTTCAGTTACTGAGGTGAATAGACATAGGTTCCTTTGGAAACTGGACTTGGAAAACCACGATTGTATCAACTTGCCATAGTATTGCAGGTGGTTTCCTCAAGAGGACTCTACCATTATATTATCTTCAGTTAATAAATTCTGTGTCTGAGAATTGGCTCAGGTCTAGAAACTGGGAGATGGATTAAGGCTTTATTGGAGCAGTTTACCCAGCCTCCTGCTCATTCAGCCTTGATTTCATGTGCCTATGTAAGTTAAGCAACATACTTGTTGTCTGTTCTTCTATCTTGGCTCTAAAAGCACTGTGTTCTGTTAACAGAGTCTACTCCTCTCTGCAGATGAGATTCCCTGGTTGCCACTCAACTTTCCTGCTTAATATGATCGTTGTGACCATCTTGCTTTTGAAATGTAAGTGCCACTTCCGGAGTCAAAGGGGCAGGTGGCCCAAAGCTTCCAGTTTGGGGTGAAATTGCAAGAAATAGAGACTCTGTAGACAGCATCTGCATATCACCATATTCCAGAATTCACTGACCACAGGTGATGCTGTGGACCCTAACCTCCCATGGCTTTCCAGGGTCTGGACTAGGGGAGAAAGTATAAATTTCACCAGAGCACTATTCATGAACACACACGTGGCAGCTCCAGAAAAAAAATAAATAAATAACGATCGAGTCATGTTTACAAGAGGATAGAGACCCCATGTCATGCAGGAGTGAGTGCAGTCAGTGAAGTCTGAATTGTTAATGTTAACCCCACTTAGAAGAAAAAAAAGTACAATTGATTTTATTCATTGACGTGATCCTGTATGCAGAAAATTCTAACAAACCCACCAAAGAGTATTAGAACTATTAAATGAGTTTAGCAAGTTCACAAGATACAAGATCAATACAGAAAATTAGTAGCATTTCTGTATACTAACAATGAATAAACCCAAAGTGAAATTAAGAAAATAATTGCATTAAGAATAAAACACTTAGGAAGAAATCTAACAAAATAAGTGCACAGCTTATACACTAAAAACTAAACAACATTCTTGAGAGGAGTATAAGGAAATCTAAATGAGAGAGACGCATGCACTGTGTTCGTGAGTCAGGAGATGCAATATTGTTAAGATGTCAGTTCTTTCCAAATTGATGTGTAGATTCTACACAATACCTATAAAAATTCCAGCAGATCTTTGTGTCGAACTTGACTAGCTAGTTCTACAATTTATATTAAAATGCAAAAGACCCAGAATAGCCACAAGCGTTTTGGAAAAAAACAAAAAAAGCTGGACAACATTTACTTGCCAATTCAAGATATAGTAATCATGACTATCTGGTTTTGGTATAGGAGTAGACACACAGATCAATGTAAAAGTCCACAAATAAGCCCACATATCTTTGTGATCAACTGATTTTTAACAAAGGTGCTAACATATCAACATAATAATAACATATTAATTCCATGGGGGAAGGAATAGTCTTTTCAACGAGTAGTACTGGGAAAATTGAATATCCACCTGCAAAAATATATATTTGCACCCTTATATCAGACCTTATAAAAATTAACTCATAGAAGAAAATCTTCATTACCTTGGCTTAGTCAAAGTTTTACTAACATCAGCAAAGCACACCTTTGAAAAAAAAAATCAATAAATTGTACTTCATCAAAATTTAAAATGTTTTTTTACTGGAAAAGTCACAATTAAGAAAATGGGCCATATTTGGCGGCTCGTGCCTGTAATCCCAGCACTTGGGAGGCTGAGGCAGATCGCTTGAGCTCAGGGATTCGAGATCAGCCTGAGGCACATGGTGAAGCCTCCTTTTTACTGCAAACACAAAAATTAACCCAGCATTGCGACACGCGCCTGTAGTCCCAGCTCCTTGGGAGGCAGAGGTGGGAGGATCCATTGAGTCTTGGAGGTTGAGGCTGCAGTGAGCCATGTTTGCACCACTGCACTCCAGCCTGAGCAACAGAGCAAGACTCTATTAAAAAAAAAAAAAAAGGCCGGGCGCAGTGGCTCAAGCCTGTAATCCCAGCACTTTGGGAGGCCGAGATGGACGGATCACAAGGTCAGGAGATCAAGACCATCGTGGCTAACATGGTGAAACCCCGTCTCTACTAAAAATACAAAACGAAAAAGTAGCTGGGCGTGGTGGCGGGTGCCTGTAGTCCCAGCCACTGGGGAGGCTGAGGCAGGAGAATGGCATGAACCTGGGAGGCAGAGCTTGCAGTGAGTCTAGATCTTGCTACTACACTCCAGCCTGGGTGACAGAGAGAGACTCCGTCTCAAAGAAAAAAAAAAAAAAAAAAAGAATAAAAGAAAAAAGAAAGAAGAAAGAAAAAAAGAGAAGCCACAGACGCACAGACTGGGAATAATATTTGAAAAATGTATTTCTGGTTACTTTTTCCCAGGATGTACAAAACTCTTAAAACTCAATAATAAAAGCAACTGAATGTCTTAAAAATTTACACATAAAGCTACTGTATAAGAAGCAATTCCACTATCCAAGAGAAAAGAAACATATGTCTGGCCAGGCGCGGTGGCTCACCCCTGTAATCCCAGCACTTTGGGAGGCCGAGGCGGGCGAATCACGAGGTCAGGAGTTCAAGATCAGCCTGGCTAACACGGTGAAACCCCGTCTGTACTAAAAATACAAAAAATTAGCTGGGTGTAGTGGCAGGCACCTGTAATCCCAGCTACTCGGGAAGCTGAGGCAGGAGAATCGCTTGAACCCGGGAGGCGGAGGTTGCAGTGAGCCGAGATCGCGCTACTGAACTCCAGCCTCATGACAGAGTGAGACTCTGTCTCAAACAAACAAACAAAAAAAGTCAACGTACGTCCATACAAAGACTTGTACAGGAATGTTCATAGAAACATATTCACAGTAACTGAAAAGTTACAACAATCCGAATGTCCCTCAACTGGTAAATGGATAAGCAACATATGCTGCGTCTTTGCAATGCTGTTCAACAATAAAAAGGAAAGGGCTACAGGTACATGGTACAGCATGGATTAAACAAATAAGCCGTGTGATATAATTCCTTTTATATGAAATTTCCAGTAAAGGCACATCATTAAAGATAGAAAGAAAGTGGATTAGTTAGTTGTTGCCATGGAGTGGGCTGGGCACATGAATTAACTATAAGTGGGCATAGGAATCTTACTGTGTGATGGAAATGTTCTAAAACTAGGACGGTTGCATGAACTAGCAAACTTACTACAAAATCATTGATTTATACATTTCAAATGGGTGAATTTTGTGGTTTGTAAATTGTACATCAATAAAGTTTCAAAAAACACGACAACCTAAGACTGGGCATCCTCGAAGATTTTAACTCTCAAGTTTGTCCACACTGAGCCTCCAGCAGTTCATCAATTACAGTTTAAGTTTTCTATACCATTACTGGCTCCAAAAGTGATTTCTGTTTCTGGGCTTCCGCTCCAGTAAGCTGTGATTCTCTGTATCCACCTGTCTGTATCTCCAATTTTGGGGGCAGGGGTTTGCCCTGTGACCTTAGCTCTCTGATGAATCTGAGAAGTGTTACTGATTTCTAGTTTGCTCGGTTTCTTTTCTTGTTGTGAGGATGAGAGTGATGACTTCTAAGCTCCTCATATGCCAGCCCAGAAACCAGAAATTTCCAATAAAAAGATATTTTCTTGTTTAATTTTGAAAGGTGATAGTAAGCCTCTGCCTGACACAACCTCCCTGGTCCTCCACAAGCTTAGGCCAACTCAGGACCCCAGTGTAGCCAGCCCTGGAGGGCCTCCACACCCTGAAGCATGAGGTACATGCCTGGAGCCAGCAGCTTTACAAAAGAGCTCTGGGGAGCAGGTGGGTGGGGGTTATAGAAGCTGTGGCTCAGCATCTACAGCTGGAAGCTAACAAACTGATTCATTCATTTGAGCTATTATCACAGAATGGACTTGTGTACCTTGCAGCTGTCATCAAAAACCATCATTCTTCCAACAGTAACTTGTCCACAAACCGCATTTCCTCTTTGCCTCTGGAGCTGCATGAACTAGTAGTAGACTAGATTTTTGCCTGAATTCTATCTCTACTTGTGAGCAAGCCTTTTCCTTTAGTTGAAATTCCTTTATTCATAATTGCCAAAAACTGGAAACAACCAAGAGATGCTCAATACGTGAATGAATTAATAAACGGTGGTACTTACAGACAATGAAATGTTATCAATAAAAATAAGTCAGGTCAGGTACGATGAGTCACACCTGGAATCCCAGCACTTTGGGATACCGAGGTGGAAGGATCGTTTGTGGCCAGGAATTCAAGACCAGCCTGAGCAATACACTGAGACCCTGTCTGTACAAAAAGTTTAAGAAAATAGTTGAGCGTGGTGGTGTGTGCCTATAGTCACAGCTACTCAGGAGGCTGAGGCAGAAGGATTTCTTGAGCCCAGGAGTTCAGGGTTACAGTGAGCTATGATGGTACCACTGCACTCCAACCTGGGTGACAGAGCAAGACACTGTCTGTAAACAACAACAATAAAAACAAACAAACAAACGAACACTGTCTGTAAACAACAACAATAAAAACAAACAAACAAACAAACAAACAAACAAAAACCCATGGAGGAACCTAGTGAAGAAGCCGGTCTGAGAGGACAGCAGTTGTGTGATTCCAACTGCATGACTTTCTAGAAAAGGCAAGCTGGAGAGACAGTTACAAAGATCAGTGGTTACCAGAGTTTTGGAGTCAGCAAGGGAGGGATAAATAGGTGAAGCAAAGCACACGTATTCATTGGGTGGTGAAACTGTAATGGTGGATACACAATATTACGCATTTGTCAAAACCCAAAGAACCTTGCAACACAAAGAGTGAACTTTCATGTAAACTACGGACTTTAGTTAAAAACAATGTATCAATAATGATATTAGTTCATTAATTGTGAAAAGTGTAGCACACTAGCGGAGGATAATAATAGAGAAAACTTGGTACAGCGGACAAAGGGAGTATACAGGAACTGTACTATCTGCTCAATTTTCTACCAATCCAAAATTTTTCTAATAATAAAGCCTATTCATTAAAAAAACAACTAGAACTAAATACACAACTAACAAACAACGCAGCAATCACACACCAGGGAATTTATTTCAGAAAATTAACAACTTATAACCACACAAAATCCTGTACAAGAATGTTCACTGCAGCTTTATTAATAAGCAAGTACTGGAAACAGCCCAGATGTCCCTCCATACACTAATGGTTTGAAAGACAACTGCCGGCCGGGTACGATGGCTCGCACCTGTAATCTTAGCACTTTAGGAGGACAAGGCGGGTGGATGACCTGAGGTCAGGAGTTCGAGACCAGCCTGGCCAACACGACGAAACCCCGTCTCTACTAAAAATTTAAAATTAGCCGGGCGTGGTGGGGGGTGCCTACAATCCCAGCTACTTGGGAGACTGAGGCAGAAGAATCGGTTGAACCCGGCGGGGAGCAGAGGTTGCGATGAGCTGAGATCACACCACTTCACTCCAGCCTGGGTGAAAGAGTGACACTCCATCTCAAACAAACCAACCAACAAACAAACAAAACCTGTGGTTCATCCAGATCCCTTGGAATACTACTCAGCAATGAAAGGAAATAGACTGTTCATACACACAATAAGCTGGATGAATCACCAGACGATTATGCCAAATTTTTAAAAAGCCAGTACCAAAAGCTTACATAATTGTTTGATTGCATTCAGATAACATTCTTGAAATGATAGAATTGTAAAAATACAGAAGAGATGAGTGGTGCTTCTAGGGACTGAGGAGGAGCTGGTGTAGGAAGAAAGTGGCTGTGGCTATAAAAGAGCAACATCAGGGACCCTTCTGGTGACTGCTCTGTGTCTTGACTGTATCATGTTAATATCTTAATTGTGAGACTATACAATGGTTTTGCAAGATGTTATCAATAGAGGAAGGCACCTAAAGGGTACACAGGATCTATCTGTATCATTTCTTACACCTGCATGTGAGTCTACAATTGTCTCAAATAAAAACTGAATTCAAATAATAATGTGTAG